ACACGAATCTTTTTAATAATTACATCGTGTAAATGATAAACAGTTCTGCTCGACGATCTGCCCGAGTCTCACTCGGGAGAAACTGTTAATGGGTTAAGAGGCGACCGCTCGCGGCGATTCCGTGTACACGTTTTCACGGTCGTGGTTCGTTTCTTTTTTATCCCGATTGCACTGTACGTAAATCGCGCGTTGTAGCTGTCTATCGTTCTCTCTCTATCTTTCTATTCGGTAGTTCTCTCGGAGGCGCCTTGACATAGGTGACGAGGCTTAAGCTATCTGGGCCCGCTGACCAGCGAAACGTCGAAGGATACGTTAATTATAGTTATCGGGCATCGATTGACCGTCACCTGCGACCGTACGGTACATTCGTGATCTATGGACACGTTGGTGCTATGTAGACCGAAATACAGTAAAACTTGGATTAGCACCCGAAACGATGTACAGAGTCAGCATCTGGTGTTCATCCCCACCAGTGGAGTGGGAGTTTAAAAATAACTTTTTAGTAAAATATGAATGACTGTTAAAACTTTTTGGAAATTATTCAGAAGGGTGTGTTTAACGACATATGTAATAGGAAAAATGTGATTAATTAAATTACAAAGAAAAAGTACAAATTTCACTAGTGAATGAACATTAATCAGTGAATGAACATTTCCAGCCAATGACGCGACAATTGTTTGAATATGTAACAAGGAATTGGAAAAAATCAATATTTAATCATTTGTTGATTTTAATAACTTGATTTACTTGTTTTTTATATTCTAATGTTCATTCAGTGGCGCGTGGTCATTTACTGAAGCACCCACCCTACGATAAATCGTATCGTCTGTGGATCGTTTGACCTGTCTCGTGTAAGCAATTTGCATCATATGATAAGCAATATCTGTATGATAGTGGTGATTGCATTACAGTAACTTGTTGTATACACACAACACATATTGTCTATCATACGGCGCAGGTTGCGTACACATGACAAGATACAGTAATGGTTTAACCTAGGTGATGGTCGAAATTTGACAACCTTCTCCTGCATCAGTACATGACACATACAGGGTGAGTCAATCATAACTACTATCTAAAATACCACGTTACTTATTGTATCAAGAAACGTTTTAATAAATTATGAAATATTTTATATAGGATAGACACACTTTGATTACTTTATATCTTATTTTTTTTAAATATCAAGGTGACCTTGATTTTATTCAAGGTCAATGCTTCTTTTTTTTAACACCATCACGCTATATGTCGTTGAATTCGTCCTTCCATCGACAACAACGTGGTATTAAAAAAAAGGTGCATTGACCTTGAAGAAACTCAAGGTCACCGTGATATTTACAAAAAATAAGATATAACAAAATCAAATTGTACCCATCCGACGCGTCCCTTAAAATGCTACATAATTCATTAAAATATTTTCTGATACAACCAACAGGTAACGAATTTTATATAGTAGTTTTTCTTGACTCACCCAGTATGTTCTGTACCGCCGAATAGGGAAAGTCCTGAAAAAAATGCTGCCGCGTTGGACGTGTTAAGTGGGGGAAATCTGTTTACGGGAGAACCTCACGTCCTGAGCCGGATTACCGAGCGGCATTATCTAATACACGCGGAAACGATAACGAGAACAACGGCCATTACCGCGAGCGAGTGTGACATTAATCGCGATTACGTCCCGTACGTCTACGCGAGGAAGCACGAAATTATTCCGGGACGAGCCGTAGGCTCTGTTGCTTGCTTACTTGCTAGGTTACGCTCGCTTTAATCGGCCTCTCGATCCGCGAGATTCTGGAATTTTTTTATATCCCGTGTCGAGTCTTTCTCGCGTCGCCTTGAACCGAGTAAACTGTGGTTTACATTGACAGGAGTTTTCCTGGTCTACATAGATCGATTTCTGGATGGAATTGAAAGATTCTCTGAATGGGATGGAATAATGTCTGAATTGAAAAGAACCCACGATGCCTTGAGATGGAGCTAGACGTTCTTTTTTATCTCGATAGATTTGTGGATGGAATTGAAAGATTCTGTGAATGGAACGTATGAATGAATTGAAGGAGGCTACGATGCCTTGAAGTGTGCTAGAAGATCTGAAATGTTGTTTTTTCTAGCTCGAATTCAGGAAGTTATTCGTAATGACCGGTCTTTCGAGCATTTCCTGAAGAGGATGGGCACTTAGACGAAAAGTGATTCTTAACTCTTCACTCGGGCACCGGGAATTATGAAATATCCTGTATATCGGGGACAAGATTACACATTCGTTCATTCACGAAATACACATAATTATTTTCATGATTGTTGTTGAAAAGAACAGGATATAATTGTGGTTGGAACCATTTTAATAAAAAGTGTATCAAATCCGTGTTTACATAAACTTCCGCAGTCTGATAACAAGTCATAAGATTTCTACCTGAACAGTTAAGGTATAATTTTTTTTATTTGTCCCAATAAGTAGTCCACTGTTTCTTCTAAGTATGATGCAATAGATTTTAAATTGAATGTATATAAAAATGGTGTACGATATAAGTAAAAATATGAATAAAACAGTATGTATAAACCCTTGACTTCGATAGAATCGAACAATGATTTCGCGAAGAAATAGTGGATGACTTATTGTTACACCTAAAACAAAAAAGAAATAAAATTTCCGTGTCTACAAAAACAAGTCTGTACTGTTCAGAGTTTCAGAGAACGTAAACATGAAATCTGCCGGAAGTTTGAGCGCGTGATTTCATTAGCACTTGCAATTAAAACTACCAAACCTGTCAAAATGACTGGTTTCCGATTTTTCGTTTTGCAATATTACTGAAATCATAAAGAACTTTCCGTCGGAATTTATGTTGACTCAATTAAATGAAACAGACAAAAAACCAATAATGTCTTATTCTACCGACAAGTTTTTAAAAGCAGATTTCAAATGCACTATAAAGTAAATAAGACATATACAGGGTGAGTCACATAACGTTTGCACCTCAAACATCTTTATTGTTTTTAAAGATACGTCAAATGTCTTAAGGACAAAGTTGAATGGTTCAATGGGGCTGATGACAAACAAAGTTTTGTTTTTTATCTAATTTTTTTCGAGATATCAAGGACACCTTCATTTTTTAAAATGGGATCACCATTTTTGAACACTTACAATAATAGTCGCTTTCATTAGAAATTTAGTGGCTATAATTATTCAAGGTCATTCAAAGGCACGGAAAAAAATGTTAAAGGGTTAATTGCGTGCGAAAGTAGTTCCCTCATGTTTCCACGAAGGGTGGGAATCAGTTTTCACACGACAGGGTTGAGTCTTCTACATTTTCCTTGCGTAGCTGAGCGCATCCACCACGTCGGATTTATCCTTGGCACCGTCGGAAGGATTTTCGGTCGATGTGTCTCTGATCGAATGCCTGCATTAAGCCCCTTTATGTAGCCGCCGAAGCTGGCCGGGGAAACGGCGCACACAAGCTTCTCGTTCCTCGTCCGCTCGTAAAACGGATGAGACGTTTTATGGGGGGCGAGATTCATGAAACGAGAAAATTCTAGGACGTTCGAGTGGACGGGGCCACGGGGGCGGAATGAAGATAGAAGTGAATTATTTCGCTTCGATCCAAAGGGGAAACGGAGGATCCGGCGGCTCCGCGGCGGAACCGTACTCTCCGAGTTGTCTGGGAAAAGGGAATGTAATTCACTTCGATTCCGTTTCGACGCGGCCTGATTTTTCCCCTCGGGCTTCTTCAATGCATCTTAATTATCCGTGGCGAATTCAACGTTGTTTGTCAAGGAATTTCGATTAAACCCCGCTTCTTTGTATCTGCACCAACCTTTATTATCGATCTCGCTCCCTTAGGGGTAAGTGGATTTATCCGAGCGTCGATAAACTTCTGGTTTGACGGGGGTGGATCGACGGGCGAGACAATCGTGAACTAACGTGAACGCTAATTAAATACTATTTATTCTTTAAATATTTCGTTGAGTTACAAATGAATTCCGCTATAGACACCAAAGGATTACGAAATTATACTTAACACTAGGTTTACGGGACGCGTCGTTTTGACGCATTTCGAATGCTTTCGAATGCTAGTGTTAACACTAGGTTTACGGGCACTTATCGTGTAGGTATCTCCACGGCACGCATCAACGAACCCGCAGATTTTCTTTAAAAAACAACTTATTTTATGTAATACACAATTTATGATCTCTGAAATTAATGCATAGCTATAGATATAGGTATACCACATAGAGAATTTCGAGGTTAGAAAGCATTCGAAATGCGTCAAAATGACGCGTCCCGTAAACCTAGTGTTAAATAAGAATGATTGTATGAATATTTCAATTCAATTGCTATTACCAAATTCAATCAATATTGATTGTGGTGTGTTTCGAACCAACGTAAATTCAAGAAAAGAAGAACGACACTTATTTTATGAATCAACCTAAAGGTGCGTATCCACTTGTTGCGTATCAATGTGGACGGGCAAGACGCAAGAAATGGATACGCACCTTAATAAAATTCTATGAATGCACAGTGTGAACCACCTAAATATCTTGGTTACTTGTATGAAAAAACTCCTCAAAACAGAGTTGCTTTGGATGGACAGTTTGAATGGTTATGTGTAACGGTAAAAACATTTTTTTCTCAAGGTCATATTTTTGAAGAGATTTCAAGGGCACTGGAATTTTTTTAAATCCTTCAGGCTTTTGTTCTGCATCCTTACAGGCCATCAGAGAAAACTCGTATTTTATCTGAAGATAATTTAAATTTCCTGTAGTAGAAACATGTTGCATGTTAGTCAGTCGAAGTTTAACCATTGCTGCAGTCAACCTGAATAAATAGTTCCGTTATTTTTAACACACCGTTCCTTGTCAACACTATATATTGTTTCCATCAACGAAACTACTCGTACAAAATTAATTCCGTGTTTGGTGTACATACATGCGAATTTTGTAACCTTTATTTACTGGAAAAAACAATTTGGATCCTCTGGTAATCAATTGGTCACGATTGATGATTGCAGACTGCGCTCAGCAACCTGGAGGAGATGCAGCACAATCCTATGGTGTACCGTAACAACGACAGAAGCAGAAACATGGGGGTCGGACCGATGCGATCTCGCCCGATGGAGAAGAGGCACGACACCTCGCCGTACAGCGGTGTCCCGTATCTATCGCCTCCCCCTCCAGACACCTGGAGGAGAACCAATTCGGACTCCGCGTTGCATCAGAGCGCGAACGAAGCTTGCCAGTCGGCCACCACCATTCCCCATCGACGAGGTGAGACCACAACTTGTAGTTTTATCGGTCCCTTTATAGTGCAGTAAATCCTCGATGAGTGTTCGGGTGCTCCTCGACACTGACAAGGAGAGATCCTCCGATGTAACGCTCACTTTTCAATGAGGTTTAGCACAACGATAGAGTTTGGAATTCTGAAGCCAATAATATTTATTTCATCCGCATGTGGCCATTAATTTATGAAATATTTAACGTTCTGTGCCGAAGAGCCTTTGAACACTCGTCGAGGATTTACTGTAGTTGTATTAATAATAGAGACTTTATTATACACTAAAGTAAGCATAGGAAGAATGGAAATAAGATTCAAAGGTAGGAATATAATTGACATAGTAGTAACTGGCTGCTATTCGATACTAGAACTTAACCAAACCTGTTAAAAGGATGGATTTTAGATGTCTTGTTTTACAGTTATGGAAATTTACTAGGAGCTTCTGTCGGAATTCGTGTTGACCTTTAAATTGTTATATAGTTTATATCATGTTCAAGAAAAAACGAAGGTTCAAGACTTTAGGTGCTTATGTTATTCATCGAGTGAAGCCAGAAATGTCTAATCAACATAGGTCCTAATATAGAGAATTGATTTCAGGACCTACATATGTTGATTAGACACTTCTATCGGTGAGTACAATAAGCCCCTAAAGTCTTGGACCTCTTGTTAAAACACTTTTCTAAAATTTAGTATAAATTCAAGGTGGATGGTTCTAGTGTTAATAGGTTTCTTCAGCCAAGGAATATTAAAACATAGTTACAGTAGCAAATTATGATTATAATACATACATATCATCAACCCTAATAACATGATGGAACGATTTTTTCTGTAATCCTGATTTAAATCTATAATAATGAGCTTGTTATCAATAAACACTGAAATAAGAAAGCCTATCAGTAGACTAATAAGGTATTAACTGATTTAAAACACTGCAAACGGGCAAGTTGCAGCTTGTTGTTAGCCTCTATTTAAACTTTTCAGTTCCGCAGGGTATACGTATTCTCTCTTTCGGAGTAGCTAGTTATTTACGTAAAAGGTACATATTTGCCCATTAAAAGTGGCATTCAAGTTTATAACAAACGTATCGTATTCTTCTGATATTCCTGTAGGTGGAAACAGTTAGCAATGGAAAGACAGGTTAGCCAAGTTCCATTCAGTTGTAGGCTCTAGTGCAAGAGTTAGCTATGCCACAACAGTAAAGTTGTCAGATATTAAGGTTTTCATAGAAAGTAGTGTACATCATAATATACTTTGCTTGCATTTTTATACAGACAAAAAATTCATTCAGGGGATGCCAGAATTGATAAAAATCTCATTTTTCAACATTTTGTGGCATGGCTATTTCTTGCTCTGGACCCCTCAGTTGTACACGTATCTAGAAAATTTTCTTGTTCAGTAATATGAAAAGACATTTGTTCTAGTGTTTCGATTTAGTTTTTACAGTAAATGCCTCTGTCGATTATACCACCCATATCCAACTTCAATGATACGAGTCAAAATTGATAAGGGTCACTCGTTTCGTGCTTCCTCTTCGTCGCTGCAGTATTCAGCGTGAAGTAATCTGTTTTCTCGTTAATCAGAACAAGGAATGCTTGCATTCTGTAGGCTTGTATAATTTTCTCATCGAGGTGAAAAATGTTTACTCGATGCTCTTCCATAGAACTGCAGATATTATTGTCGACAGTTTGAAGTATGTTTGATTTCTTATACTAATAATATTGAAAATAGTACAACACGTCAGAATAAAGGACAGAGTAATATTAACTTCTTCAGAAGAAATATTTAGAATTGTTCATTTAATTAAAATATAGTTATAAATATTAACAAAAATCAATTAGTAGAGTACCCTATTTTGTTGGGAAATTTCCTAGTGATTATTTAATTACAATTTTGGAACGATGTTCGAATGAAAGAAAAACTAAAATGTACACATACGTGCCAGTATCCCTTTAAGAGATTAAATAATGTCTGTCGAGTACAAAAATACTCAAGTACGGTTGAAACGGTGCGTAAAGAACAAGACGCAATTTTAAAATTGGTAAACGTAATTTCCATACAGTTGTTCAATTCAACAGTTAACTCTTCGTCAGACATTAACCAACGCCTGGCACGAAATAAGCCACGTCTATGGAAATAAGGACGTAACTCATCGTCGCTAATTAAGCCTAAGTGGATCTGCCCACTCCACGAAGTTGTCGTCTCGAATTCTTCAAACCATCCCAGATCCAGTGGCTCATACGCCCAAAAACTTAGCTATTTATCGCGACACAACATATTCTACTATTCTAACGATCTATTATTTTATTATTCTAACGATCGTGTGTATCCGATCGAAAAAAGGAGACAAGCAATTAGACGTTCCCTTGTAAAAGTCTTCTAGATAAAAAATATAAGTGCAAAGTAAAAATGTTCTAATTCCTCCAAATAAAATCGGAGTTAAACATCATTATCAAAAATCAATTATTTCAATTGTTGTATAAAAGTTATTTTTTAGTTATAAGAAAAAAATTTACACAAGGTAACCGGCAGATTTCGTTATTTATATATCTTAATCGTGAGTGTTCCATATTGTGCACGGTTACTCCAAACATGGGTCAAAAATGACCCGGTGTCGGCTGACCGATGGATGAACACGTTCGAACGGTTCGATTCGCCAGCGCCTAAGCACAAGGGGTCATTGGCCCCCGCAGCGCTGGGTTTTCCGATTCCGGTCGCTTCGGATATACGCGCGCGCGCGCGCCTTCGATGATTCCCTCTTAATCCGGGCACCGGCCGCCGACACACGAGGGGATCCGGAGCCTGTAACGTTATACCCCGTAGTAACGTTAGCAAGCGACAGGAATCGCGGGCGGTGTTACGTTGCTGCCCCCGCGAAATCAGACGCCAGCTGCCTTGGAAATGTGCAACGACACTTCCGTGTTTCCTCGTCGCCGAGGTGTATCGCGCGCCACGGGGAGTCCGGCTGCGAACCGAGAATGATGAAGTTGAAAACCCGTGAAATCACCAAAGATTATCCCTTGAACCGTTGGTTTTCGAGTGGAACGGAATCGATTGCCGCTGGAGATAACTAGAATTTTTATGGAATCTTCTTTTACACACCTTGTATACGCTCTTTATATGTGAGCATCCACTCTTCGAGGACTTATACGTATATCCTTTGTACCGAAAGGGTTAAATATTCTTAAAGTCTCTGCCTTCGGTTCTGTACAATTAAATGTGCTATCAATGCTTAGAATCCACGGTCTACTGGTGTATCTTTCATTATAATAAGCAGATTTACCTGGAAAAGACAGATCAGGTTAGATTTACAGGTCACTTCCATCATGGACATTGAGCAATTATTAAATAAAAATTGAATGATAGTAATAATAATAAATACGATAATTCAAATGGAATAACAATTGCTTAGATAAACACGTTGAATGTCATGGTTTTTACTCTCGGAACATGATGAAATACATTTGTTTAGAATACTCATTATTATTCTACTGTTAATTATATTTACGAAATATTAAATATTTCTGTTCCTTCGTGTAATTTAATGGCGCCAGTCATCGGTGACCACCATATGCCAGTCAACGTGTTAATACTAAGCTTCAGTGTGCAATAGATAATATATCATTTATTGTAAAATGTCTTCGATAGAAATAAATTTACAGAAGGTGTACCGGACGTCACGTAAAAACTCAGGCTAACGCATTTTCACTCTGTTCCGTTTTCGCAGTTCTTTTTACACCCCCGTTTACGTGCGCAGATCAGCACACCATGAGCGGATCCGGGAGCGATAACAGAGATCTCCACCACGGATTCATCGAACGGCCGAGATCGTCCTGCGAAATGCCTAGAGTGCCCGGGATCAAGTAAGCCCATCTCACACGACAATTTCCCTTGATTTCCCGCTGTTCAAATAATACCCAACTAAAATTCCACGAATTCTCGCGAAACGTCTGTTCTTAACACCTTGAACGCCAGGATTTTTACGGAAAAAATGTCAGAAGTACAGCTTAGAAGTAGGGGTTTAAATGTTATGGCCTTTAGCTGTTCATTTTGTTGTTTCAGTGGAATAAGGGTTCTAAGGTACAGAAGAAATTCATAACTACATGTTCTTACTTTCTTACTCCAAGGCTCGAGCTTCGGGCAAAAAACAAATTTACGAGGGTCTAAAGCATTTCTCCTGTTCGAAGCTTGTCGCGACGCAGTTCCGAGTTCTTGACAATAATCGACGGAACACTGTACTTTCAGAATACAGTATAACGTAAAAACCGTTGTTTCTCAAAATCTGCTAAATGTGCTCTGTACCCTTATTCGAGATTTCCATTCATTTGTTTAAGTCTTTGTTGGTAATTCGAACATTCGTCACGTTTGTTATTACTCTACTATTAATCGTAAAATGTTAAATATTCCTATTTAGAAAATTCAATGTTTCTTCGTGTAATTTAGTGGTCGCCGGTCATCGATGACCACCACAGTTGTCAACGTGTTAATAGTACCGTGGTCGATTTTCCAGCGTGTGCATTATTTACGCGCTACGACTATTGTACACGGGATTCCATTGTACTCGTCGCGTATTATATCGTGGATATTAATGCTCTGCTGCCTGGAATTTATATAATTTTGAATAACCGTACTCCGGGAACTGTCCTCGAGGCGGCCTTAAATTTTAACGCACCCCTGAGAGCAATCATCTTCTTCCCTCTCTAGAATCGCTCGCCGAATAACACCGATGTATGTCGTCGTTCTTCGGGCCTAAAACATTGATCGTTAAGTGGCGTATATAGATCGGGACACAGTTGTTGGAAACACTGTATTGTAACACTGACTCAGTAGAGTTTACCCTATAAAATATCTGTACCGCCAATCAAGTGTTTACAACGATTGTATCCCAGTCTATACACCACATGAGAATCCGTGTTCCCATCGATTTCAAAGATTTCTCTCGAGTTTAAAGACTTCCCTGGAAGTCAAAAATTTCCATCGGTTTCAAAGATTTCCACCGATTTTACAAGATTCATACCGATTTTCAAATATTTCCACCGATTTCACAAATTTCCATCAGTTTTCAAAGATTTCCACCGACTTTACAAGATTCATAACGATTTTGCACCGATTTCACAAAGTTCCATCAGTTTTCAAAGATTTCAGCCGATTTTACAAACTTCCTAACGATTTTCAAAGATTTCCAGCGGGTTTCAAAGATTCCAACCGATTTTCAAATACTGCTACCGATTTCCAAATATTTCCACCGATTTCAAAGATTATCACCGATTCCAAAAAATTCCACTAATTTTCAAAGATTCCCGTCAATTTGACAGATTTCCGCCGATTTTTAAAGAGATCTATCGATTTCAAAAATTTCCATGAATTCCAGAGATTTCTATCGCGTTTAAACATTACCACCGGTTTCATAAATTACCATCGATTTCGAAGATTTTCATCAAATTCAAGGTTTCCCATCGAACTCTGAACCGATCGTTTATTTTTCCCGCAGCATATACCCGAGCTCTCAGCCGCCGGGACAGCAGATCCCCATAGGCAACAATACAGGATCGTTGCCGGACCTGAGCAACGTCCACTTCCCGTCGCCTCTTCACACCCCGTTGGACCAGGAGGATCACTCGAGCAGTACGCCGTTCAGCAACGTGAGTCCCGGCCAATTATACCGGCCTTTCCTCTGTTTCTTTACCTTTATTCTCGAACTTTTCTATACGCACTCACATCGAGGCTGCACGTTTCTGAACGACTTTCTCTTCCCTCGCCTTCCTAACGTTCGCGTCTCCCGAACCTTTCGCCTCGTCCAGTTACGAGAGGAAACTCCCTCGTTCACTCGACAAGACAGCGTTTCTTGACGCTTACGAAGGAAGCACCCTGACTTTGTTCGAAACTTCGAGCTTCGGACAATCGACAGCTCGCTCAACTCCTTAGTTCTTAGTTGGTACATTGAAAAGGGTCGACGTTTTGCAAAGTACGCGATTTCCAATTGCATTAAATCTACCAATAAATCATCCACTGTTTTCAACTCATTTCGGACAGAATTTTCAATTTCGAGGCTTTTATTATAATTTTGCTTATAGAATATTCAAAGGTGTGTTAAAATTCAGTATCAGCTGTAACAATTAATCATCTACTGTTTTCAGCCCATTTCGGGCAGAATTTTCAATTTTTAAGTTTTTATTATGATTTCGTTTATAGAATATTCATACAATGCTTCAAAAGGTGTGTTAAAATTCAATTCTAGGTTAATTATTTCTTTATACTTTAGATAATATTGAAATCTATAGCACATCTGAAAACAAGTTTCCAGGTTTGTTTGGCTATTTGTTGTTAGATGGCGGTACAGTGCAGCAAATAGGCCGGTAAATAAGTAGTAGTAGGTAACAGGCCTATTTAACCGAACCTTGAAAGATGCTATTGCCGTAACACTCCTAAGCTCGAAAGGGTTAAATTATAAAACAGTATACACTAAATTGAACATTTATTGTCGACTCTCCGTTGAGGAAAAATCAGTTATAGTTTACTGAAAAATCGTTACGAATACATATAAAATAGTATACAGTAAATTCTCAATGAATGTCGAAGGCTCCTCGGCACTAAAAATTAATATTTCATAAAATAATGGCCATATGCGACACAAAGAAATATCATTAGCTTCAGAATTCCATATCACTGTGCTAAACCTCATTAAAAAGTCAGTGTTACACCTAGGGCCTCTCCTCAGCACTGCTGAGGAGCCTTGGAACACTCATCGAGGACTTACTGTATTTAACGTGTAGCGCAGATTGGATGCTTCCTTCGTTAGCCTCGGTTGATCACGAATTTCTTTGAAAATTCCACTCAGTTCCAACTATTTGCACTTGCAGTAAACCGCGTTACAGGTGGTAAATCCCAAAGACAGGAGTTTCCTCGTACCAATAGACTACAATTAAGATTAACGATACGATTAACCGTTATCTATCCGGCTAGTCTATTTTCTCTAGAGGGAGAAAGAAACAGGTGTGGTAGCGAGTCAGGGAACACTCGTAGCCCGCGATCGAACTTGAAATTCACGGCTGTTCCCGGTCCGAGTCACGAGTCGCTCTTTTAGATCGGTTAACGACATCGTATCACGAACAACTCGACACACGTGACGATATGCGGTCTCGTTTGTCTCGATATCGAAAGCGATCGCGGGTTTATTCGTCCTATTTTTAGACGCGCGAGTATACGAGGTTTGAAGAAAATGTTCCTGGAATATTTTTTTTTAAACTAAAAAATTTCGAGGACAACACATATGGCAATAATATTGTTACTGTAAAAATATAAATGTAGTCATTGCAAAATTTCAATATGAAATGCACATTTTCATCATTTTTTAGGGTTTGCAATTTTTTCTAATTAGAATTTTCAACCAAAAAATGTTCTGCATCGTGTTGATTTAAATATGCACTTGCAACAAAATCGAATTTAATTTTAGGATATATGTATACTATTATCAATAAATTTCTCGATAACTCGGATGCAGAACAAAATTTCTTTTCTCGAGACATGAAAAGTATCGAGAACTCAAAACACTAGACAGAATCGTGTGTTACATCTAATGGGGACTACTTCGAAGGGAGCCATATCAATATCGACAAACAAATAAATGTTTTTCGAAATAAATAAAAATTCCAGAAACTTTTTGATCGAACCTCGTACTCTTCACGTGTTCCCTTCATCTACCTTTTCCCTCTTTCTTGTCTCTCCTCCCACCACATTGTTTCTTTCGTTATTCTCTGGTTCCCTCCCACCTGTGTCGGTACATACAGGTATATTATATGTATCAGGTATCGTGTATCGCGTCACGTGCACCATATATAGCACGAAAAAAAAAAATCGTAGGAACAGTCTAAAACCTGTCTACTTTCGACGCGTGGATATATCTGATTTGTTTTCTTTTTTAAAATGGTCGTACTTGCTGGTGTATTCCAGAGTCCTCAAACGAGCAGTCCCACAAACCTGTCGCCGACCAGCTTGGCTCAAGCTGGTAGGCTATCCTTTTCACAGGAACACAATCCGACCGGCGCCCAAGTAAATATATATCCTTGCGAATCCCGGTACTAGTGTTGGGTTTTATGCGTTTTGTTAGAGAATGCCACCGCTGCACCCGCGAGGTAGCCGATGTGACGTCTGTCTGGAGGGAATATGAATACTATTACTTAGGATATACAGGGTGTCGCAAAGTAGCTTCGTCTCCTGGAAATGAGGGGTTCCTGAGGTGATTTGAAACAACTTTTTCCTTTGAAAAAATGTTATCCGAGGCTTCGTTAACGAGATATTAACGAAAAACTCCGACCAATCAGAGCGCGAGCCTGCTGGTCGAGCCTCCGCGTTAGCGTTAGCTACGCGCTGCGATTGGTAGCCAACGCTACCGCGGAAGATCAGCCGGTATACTCGCGCTCCGATTGGTCGGGGTTTTTCGTTAATATCTCGTTAACGAAGCCTTGGATAAAATTTTTGCTAAGGAAAAAGTTGTTTCAAATCGTCCCAGGAACCCCTCATTTCCAGGAGACGAAGCTATTTTGCAACACCCTGTATGTATATTATTACTCATAAATTTCTCGACAATTCTGGTAGAAAATAAAATTTCTTTTCTAGAGTAATGAAAGGTACTGTAAAATCAGAAACACTAGGCAGAATCCGTGAACGAGCTGAAGGCTCGAGGGAGTTTTCGTGGCGTCGTTGAGCTATGGAAACACGTGGAAACGCGGCTTAACGATACGATATCGGTCTTGAAAGTGGAAGATACTTGTACCTTCTACTTATCGATTCGATTGTTATTGAAGCGTATGTCAGAATATTTTAATGAGAGGTATTTGAGTAGTTCCACTCCAGATGGAGGATAAAATGTCCTGTATTACCACTGCTTAGCAATTTGTAGTAATAATATCGTAAAATTTGTAAACATTTTAATTCTTTTTGCACTATATTGACAGTCTTAGGGGTTTGTAGCGTCACGGGTTTATCGGGGTCACGAAATGGAACAAAAGAATTATTGAACATTTCAGGTTATACAAATTTTATTATAGAACATTTTATTGCATATCCTATAATTTAGCTATTATTAATCTTTAAAGCTACTATGATTACTGCCTGTGTTTAACAATTTCTGATCACGATTACCTAAACACGTCCGAACTGTGGATGGTCGATTAGTTTCACAATTCCCTGGATAGACATCGTCTGTTCGGCTACTTCGTTCCAGATTAGAAATGTGCATTATTGGGGTCGAGGAATCTTTGGTTTGCAAACTTTGAAACGCTTTGGTGCACGTTATACGAATATAGAAGAAGAAGAATCGCCTTCCGAGAAGTGTAGTAGTCAAAACAGTCGCTTGACAAACCGAGAGATCTCCAGTTCTGTTTCGCTCCTTTCGGTCGATTTCTTATTTCCCTTCAGATTCGATTATGTCTGGAGGAAAAGATTCCTCGTCCCCGCGACACTGACTCGTTCGTAGGAAACGGAGAACGACCCGCTGTACGTACATAGTATTGCATGAGGAAAGATATTCTGTGCTTTTCTGTGCTTCGTAACCACTAGTGTGTTCCGAGTACAATGTCACAGAGCTTTCGATAGGCAAATCCACGAAGTCGATACAACGAGGAATACGCGATATGTGTCTGAAAAATAACGAGACTGGTTCTTTAAAAATATGTATTATCAACTCAACTACAGATTAACATTATTCTGTTCAAAATAGTTCCCTTAAGACACATAAACTGTCAGAGACATTATTTACAGGAGTATTATTCTCATTACAGTAGTCAGACATTATTCTTATTACAATTTTCGCTGAGTAGAAATAGGAACAATTTTATACTTCATATTAAATTGACTATTATTATGTTAAAATGTTAAAAATACTTTTATTTAAATTTAATTATAAAGGGATATTTAAATTTTATATCTAATAAGTTTTTTGTCGATTGTTGCATAAATAAATAATAAACATCAATTTTGCGATAGCAGACCTATATGATTAGAAATAAGGACATTGACCTTAGTGAATATTTTTAGAGAACCAATTGTGTTACTCTTGAATCACACCCAATATGATCGCGATCAGTCATCCACGATGCAGTAAAGAATGGCGATCCAGGACCCAGTGTGATCGTTTTACACATCCACGACTTTCAAGCAGAGAACGATTACAAAAGACAGCTGGATTGCTCGTTAAAATGTTTTCCTTTGAACGTAATTACCGTTGCTCGTACTTGCGTACAATTCCAATGCAGCGTTATACTCGGATGGAGTAATCTCGGACACGGTATATTAATCGGTGGATAGATTAGACTCGGCTTATCGATTCGATCTTACATCGTGGCTGTAAAATGTTAACCCGACCGGTGTTAAAAGCAGCGTAATGTTGGGAACGAGGTTGTTTCACGATGAATCCTTCGAATCAGCTCGCCTGAACGCGCGTTCATTTAATTGCCGCTAACCAGATGAAGGTTGAAGCCAAACTGATCGATTCTACCTTTCTAAATCTCTTGATTTCAGCGCGTTTAATCCTAATTTCGTGTTTTGTAATATCAGAACTACGTCTTCAATAATATACCGTGTATAGGATTTGTTTGATCGTGGGTATTGAACTATATTTAACGGTGGAATGTGTATGGTATAATTACACAACAGATGTTTATGCAAATGTAGGTATTTATGGGTTAATTAAATTACTTTATTAATCTGTTAACGGAAGAACACCGGTTGACTCATTCATCGTACACGACATCGACTTTCAGAAAACTTTGGCTATTCTTGTTTATTTAATAAATGATTCTTGCTTTTAATCGTATTGTAATGTACAGATATTACGTTAGTATAAACATTATTGTATTCACGTTTTATGCGATTCATTTCGTTCATCTTTATTCCCTGTGCACTGTTCGGTAAATTGTTCCTTGAATTGAACTTGCTTAATTTAATGGAATGAGACCAAACTTGCTCAAATTCGAGGGGCCATAGTCCGATTTAAAATAGTTTTCATAAGTGATGTACATATCAAGGCTAACTTTATTTATTGAATGAAATGATATGGTCTTTTTCCTGCTGATACAGTGTTTTACGACGAAAACAATGGCCTACTGTTGATGGTCATTTAAGGTCATTCAATGTCAATTATGATGAAAAATAAATTACTTCAAGGCACCGATTGAAAATTTTCGTATCTTCTCTGGTTATTTACCGCTATAATAATATGATTGTATGTTTGTTTATTTTGTAAATTATGCGATCAGTGTCATGAAGTAATTTATCTTCCATCGTAGTTAACCATGAACGACTCTTAATTGACCTTCAACCGTAGGCCATTATATTCGTCAAAACGTTATATCAGAAGGTAAGTAAAAAAACATAATTTCATTTTAAAAAACTGAAGTTGACATTGATATCTCCTCTATATCCCCACCTATGCACAAATTATTAACATCAAATTATGCCCTCCCCGAAACCAAGTAAGTCTGGTCTGATTCATATTTCCTCCACCATCAACAAGTTATTCAGGTGGCCTATTTTAGATGCCTCACCCTGTTTATGTAAACTACCGATGTAAAATTAAGTTACAAGTTTCTCTGATAAAGTATATAATTAGCAATTAAAGTTTGAGTTCTGGCCAAATTCACTCGAACGGTGCACGAAGGTTAATTATGGCTACGTGAGTGATTTTTATCAAAAAATTTCTTAATTAACAGATCAACAATTTTATCCAGTGTCCAATAAAACGAAAGTAAAATTGAACTTTATGAAACTTATAACCACAAGTCCCAGATGAATATTATAAATGCGTAAAATTTCCATTACAGATATTATCAGTTATTTTACTTTTTAATGTTATCAGATCGATCAGCTTGGCTTCTAAGAATAGAATTCGTTCGATAAAATTTGACGAACAGGTCGACGGGAGAGCATATAATAGCCTGATTTTTATCTCTACCCTCTCTGAAACGACTGCATTCTAGGCCCTCCCACCCCCTTGTTCTCGTTGCCAACCCCGCCCCCCACCCTTAATACGCTTAGCGGCCACTTATAATTTCGTTTTATTTTTATTTTGCCTTTGTTGTAGTGTTTCGTTTGTGTTTGTTATTTTGCAGAACCATTTATCAGTGCCTGTTAACTCTAGGTTTCTTCACACGTGTAAGGTCAGTAGCGATACGAACAACTTTCATTTCTAATCGCGACCAATCCCCCGATACACACGGGGTCTATCATTTATTCTACTTTCCATCCGATTTTCTCCACGATTTTTTTCTTTCTTTCCATTCATTTCTCTTGTCGTTTCGCTTCTTATAATATTAGTTGACGAGCTTGTTGGAACACATTGATAGTTTAGTGTGACACGATCGGAAATGGAAGTCACGGTTTACCACGCACGAGGATATTGTCGATCGATGGATCGAAACGAACGATTCCGAGAGATCGTCGGGGGGAGCCGAAGACTCGATTTTAAGGGGTTGCACGTGCCTTTGATAGGTCGGAAAATGGGGTTATTTTTATGAATTTTTTCCTCGTATAAAAAAAACGTTTTATTTAAAAATTAAGATACACGTATTTTTGTGTATGAATTAGGCTATATTTCGTTATTAAAAGAAATTTTATATCTTGAGAAATGCTACTCTAGCAGCCCCTTCACCCAAGGCTTCTTCAGTGGTTGCAGACTTTACGGTAACAGAAATCTTTCAGACTACTGGACCGATTAGAATAACATTCAGCATGAATATTCTTAAGACAATAATCTAGTACCTGTCCAAGCGATTTTTCGTTTTATTTCTTGTTTTTTATTAACAACGGAAAATGACAATTTAGGTCACTAGTCATATGCTTGATGTTGAGTAGGTGCCATTTTAAAAACAAATCCTTTTTTTTTTGTCAAATCGTCTTTGTCAAAACTCATACCAAATGTGGCCATTTTTTTTTTTTACTTCACGATATGTCCTATGATAGAGTAACATTCAATAATCTTTTTGAAATATCCATTTCGGACTACTCTACATCAAAATATCGTGGGCACATTTGTGCAATGCAATTTCGGATCAAAACAACTAGCGCCACCTACAACTTGCCACACTGTCCGAATATCGAAACGAAAAATTTGTTTACTTGAACGTATAATAACTAAAAGCCAGGAAATTTTTTTGACCATATCTTCCTTACTTTCTCTGAAAGAAATTCCAAAATGTCACCTTTCTTTTCGAACCAGGATATGGGAATGGGGCCTTAAACGTAAAACGTTTGTCGTCCACTTTTCAAACCCGTTTGTCCTTGGTCCGTCGGGCTTCTTCGGGTCCCCCAGGGAAAATTATTAAACTCGACGATCGAAAGTTCCGTATCCCCCCCCCCCCGCAGTAAATGAATCCGATATCTTTGAATCTTGTTTGCATTCGCGAGGACTCACGGAAGGAACAAAGTTCCATCCGTGACAGCGCCCCTCCGGCGGCCGGAAGTTAATTGTTCGCTTAAGAACGGAACTATCTCTCTCTCTTTCTACTCTCAGAGTATCTGCAAAACGCTCGGTTTGCGTTAGGTCATCCCATAAGTAATTTGCTTTCCGACGTGGAAAGCGTACCTGGAGCGGAAAACGTAGACCATCGAGGGTCGCCGAATCTCCATCGTCGTAAAGTTTGACTATCAGCTCCGTTTCGCGTCTTTTCTCCACAGTTCCCGTATTTAGTAGATAAAGGGGACAGTTTTTGGTATTTATTGGTTACATTTTTTTTTTTTTTCATTCTTTTGATGATAGTCGATAATGATTATGAAGTTTTGTGAACGTGGGAAGAAGAACAGTGTTTTATAATAACAAGAATTATTGGGAGTAATGTTATTAAAGGATATGATGCTCACTGCTCAAAAGAATTAGGGGCTCATGTATTGCACAGCCACTTGGCCTGTCAAAAAAAAATTGTTGTTATGGAATCGAAATTAGTTATTAGTAGACTGCGGATTTTTATACAGAATGATATTTTCTAAAGTAATTTTTGACGACAACAGCAAAGGTAGGAATTTATTTCTTCTCTTAAATATCTTATTGGGTTCAGAATAAAGTAAAAAACACATTGCATCTGTCGAATGTTTTTTCTCTTTGGTATCACACAAAGCCCTATTGGCTATAAATGCATAAAATCTGCAGTCTAGTTATTAGTATTGTATTAATAAGTAATACTATACTAATATATATTGTATTAGTAGTAATAATATATATAATATATATAGTAAGTTATTAGGTCTACGGACACTCGTCTTGTTTCCTTGAATTAGATGGAGTAATAGCACCACATACGGCAGCGACCCTCTAATGGTTCCGAGCAGTGCACAAATATTCATTGAAAACAGTCATCCTCTAGTTTCAGTTGAATTAATATTTCGAGTCAATTTCACCCACAAGTAAACTTTAACTTTCAAATAAGTAATCTTAAAATTCGAATCGTCTCTGTTCCCATAGAAATTTGCAAATAACTCAACTTAACTTTCTAGTGCAAGTGTTTGAAAATATTTTCTTTCCGTTTGAGTACTCTTGACCCCTACCCTAGAGGGTTGATAGTATTTTCCATTAAAAGTCCAATTGTTCCCTTATTTCGAAATCAATTTTATTCCACATTAATTCACAAAATAATCACGTACGAATTACCCGAAGACTCTCTACGTAACGACAGAAACTTGAGCAAAGATAGATCATATACGGTATGAAGCACCCACTGGGATAATCGCGTCTTTCAATTCGAAAGCATAAGTTCTAAAAAGCTCTTACTTCCAACTTCCCCCGACGGTCTCCGTTTCGGTTTTCAACGGTTCGTATGCGTCGAGCGATCTCGTGGTAAACCGTTTCCGTGACATTGAATGGGATCGACGTAGAGATCGATTGTGCGAGCTCGTTGTTGCGCGGCCTAGCTAACCTATTCAGGCTGGGGCTACGCAGAGGAGAGAGAACAAAAAAAAAGAGTAATAATAAAGCTGCCGCCAACAGTGCGGCGACCGATCGTTAATAGCGATGGCTGTGAAACAGGGTGTGGCGCTGGAAAACAGCACAAGTACTTCGCAACAGGATCTTCAGAACTATACGCAACAACCGGTGCAGCCACCGCCACCGCCGACGGCGGCGTCCCACAGTCCGGCTGGCCACTATATTTATCAGCCACCGCACAGTCCTGTGCCACCGCAAAGTCCAGTTAGTATAACACCTCACGTTACTTGTCTTTTTCTTTATTACAATATATATTCATGCGACACCATATTTCGAGGGTACAGAAGTTTCTGGCGACAGGTGCCCCTGAGATCGATTTGAATTTCCCGCGTCGACTTTGGTCGTTTAGAGGTTAATTTTCCGCTTTTGTCTGGTCAGAATACACTGGTCTTTTAGGAATCTATTTGGGAGAACGAAAACCGTTTTTTTTTAAGAATATTTTTCATTTGTTAGAAAGTACGTAATTCGTAAGGTTTTTTTTTGGAAACAATATGGCGCTCGAGAGTATATTACGTATCGAGCTGGCAAGTTATGGCGAACGGATTCCCGAAATCAGTTTTCAGTAAAATAATATTTTCTAAAGCAATTCATTCAGAAAAGAACAAATGTTGAATTTTATTTCTTTTCACGAGTATTATATTCGATTCCAAATAAACCAAAAAACTTATTGGATCCGATGAAAGTTTTGTTCTTTAGTGTCACATTTCATGTATGATTGAAACACTGTACCGTGTCCAATAAGAAAAAAAAAAAAACGCAAACACTTATTAATGTATCGTTTCACCCGTGTTTTTCTCACAGAAATCGTCGCAATCGCAGCAACAGCAGCAACAGCAGCTCAACTCCTTAGGTTCGTACAGGTCCTCGCAGCAGGTGAACAGGCCGTCACCCCAGTCATCGCCTAGTCTAACGGTTCAAGTAAGTAAGAACGCACAATGCACTCGAAACTTCTCTCGGTGTTCTTCTCGCTTGGCGAATTTTGTCTCGTGTTACACAACCGTCGCGACTCTGTTTCTCCTAGACTTTCTTGGGAGACAAAGGTTACGGGAGATTCTCGCGGCTCCGCCAGAAATTATACAGGGTGTCACTGAATTGACAATAGAGCGCGATAGAAAGCGATCCGCTGTGAGGAAACAAGAAAAAATGGTAGAACAATGTTATCCAATACAAGGCTATATTTTTGGGAAAATCGACGTTGATAATTCTTCGAGTTTGCTTACAATATCGTTTTTTATTTAGCTTTGTGTTATGATGCAAAAGTGATAACAAAGAGTTTTTGTTATTTGGAAATTGCTCGGATTACAATGTATTTTCTGCTCTAATGGTTTTTATCTGGAGCTTATTTGCAATGAAGAAAGAAAAGGGAAATATTTCGTGTGAAAGTTCTTTAAAAAGAAATGATCTGTTTACAGTAAATTCAACTAGTATCGTTTTTCCTTTTACTTCTGTTACAGTTATGAAAAAATAGACGATGTATTTGAGACGTGTAAATTATTGAACTTGTCGATTTAAGGACCGTAAATACTGAGCTTCTCGATTTAAGGGCTGTAAAAGACGGAGCTTCTCGATTTAGGTCCTGTAAAATATTGAGCTCCTCGATTTAGGGCCTGTAGAATACTGAGCTTCTCGATTTAAGGCCTATAACATACTGAGCTTCTCGATTTAAGACCTATAACATACTGAGCTTCTCGATTTAAGGCTGGTTGAACACAAATTTTGTTGATTTGAGATACGTAAAATACTGAAGCAGGACGAGTAATGCGTGCTTCCAGACGTGAATGCTACCGTGTCTGTCTAATACGTATTAATTCTACTTGTAACTACGATTAATGCTCCGTTGTCTCCCAATAATCTGCTGACTTATCAGCTTACATTAAATTATCGTGGAAAACAAATAAAAGACCACTGATAACGTTTATAAACACAGGTATAAGTAGAAGTGTCTAGTAATAGTCAGGCACCCTGGCTAATTATCGTTCAAGCGCACGTGTCACGCGATTGCTTGGCTTCTTCGTTAGTTTAATCGAAATTACATTTATCTTGTCCCATAAAAATCAACTATTTTCGAATTATACCACCAGTTCGGTGACACCTTGTATACAGGGAGGACTACGTAACTTATTAACACGGAACAAAATCATAGTGTTCTACTAATCTACATAAAAGTAGCTATCTTGTGAACCACCATGAAACAGAAAAAAAAATTGTTTAACAAAATAACAGCTATGTAAAGCAAAAATTCATTAAATTTGCAACTCCTCCACGCGATAAAGAAAACTATTGCAGATATTGACATAATTGTAGTTCACAAGATAAACACAAGATATCCGAAGTACACAGATTGGTTAACTCGTTATTGAGATATCGTGGCAGCCATTTACAAAAATGTCGTTTTGAGAAAAACGCGTCTGAAGTTTCGATTTGAACCTGCGTGTCGCGGTGCGCCGTTTCGATTAAAGACTAATAACTTCCTTATTATTTCAAATTGTGCGAAATCCTTTTGGGATTATGGTTTTGAAATATTAAGTCTTATGAAAATATAAAAAAAAATCTATTTCTTTGACCCGTCAAAGTACGGAGACCCCTTAAAAACTCTCGTCTCCACGGAGACCGACGTACCACCGGAAATAAGAATAAAACCGAAAGGTTCAGCGTGTTACCGTCACCAAGACGAATCGCAACGATTAAACGGGTGTCTGTTGCGGGATTACAGGGAAGCCCGTTGAGCTACAGCAACAATCCATCGGCGCCCCCGAGTCCCACAGGACACCCGGGTACACCGAATCTGACGTCGGACGGCCTCGATCAGTTCACGATGGTTAGTAAAAAATTAAAGAATAATATAATAAAGAGAAAAAGAAACGTACGTTTTCGGTAGAACAACCGAGGACGGCCGAGACACGTTCGCGCCCCGTTGACTTGGCAACGATCCAGCGACGCGTACACGGTTACCCTCATCTAGCTGAATCATCGACCTAGACGTTCCGAATCGCGTCCCGAATATGAAAAGATCCTACGACACAGGATTGCCCGAATTGTTCGAACATCCTTACGGATATACCGGGGTTGTCCTAAAATAACTTCGACTCTCAGCAATGACGGGTTCCTGGGATGATTCGAAAGAATTTTTTCCTTAACAAAAATTTTATCCGAGACGTCGTTAACGAGATATTAACGAAAAACCCCGACGGTAGCGGCATTGGTAGACTGCGATTAATTCACCCTTCGAATTACGAGAGGCCTCTGAACAATCGTTCGTTCCGAATCGACGAACCGAGAGAGGCTGCGCTTCGTCGTGTGCGTTTCGCTCGGCCTGCGTATTTTACGCGTGTATCACTTGGAGGTAAAGGTACGTTTCCACGTGAGACTAAATGTACGTCTCCACGTTAAACTAAAGATACATCTCCACATGAGACTAAATGTACGTCTCCACGTGACAGTAAATCGTGACTTTGAAGGTCATGACAGTAATTGTTATGACTTTTGTCGTCGTGAAAACTAGATATCGCGTTGTGACATTGGTTTAGAATGTCATGCACTGTTAAGAAAGTCATGACTTTTACTGTCATCTGGAAATGTACCTTTACAGTAATGGCTTTTGGTGTCGTGGCACTGTACGACAATGTAAACCAATGTCACGACAACGCGACATCAATTTCTTACAACGACAAAAATGTTATTACCATAGAAGTCATGATTTAACGTCACGTGAAAACGTACTTTAAGGATATTACTTCACGTTGAGCAACGATACATACTAGTTACTTTAATTTTTCGAAAAGCTCAGCAGTGATAACTGAATGATGCCGAGCCGGAAAACGTCGGACCTTTCATTATGTTTGTGTTGTAATATTACCTATTGCGGGCCATTTAACCTTCGCCCAGCTGGTTCACTTTGGACCAATGTTTCTAGTCCAATGATATGAGTGTTACTGTGTAGATGATATTTAGTATCAAAAACTTCAGTGTGGGTCAGAAGTGACCCAAATCGACCTATCCTTTGGTTGGCGGTTCGGGAATCTCTTAGAGCCAACAATGAACAAGTCAAGGATTTATTAATAAATGGTTCAATCATAATGACAAATTGCAATCATAGAATATAGCGACAGACCTAATAACATATTCTAACGATTTCTTCTTTAATCCAGATTTAAAGATAAATTAATAGGCTTCTTATCGACAGGTACTGAAAATAAAAATCCTGTCGATGGGTCAATAAGCTATTAACACCAATGTGTCTGGACTATATGTTATTAGGACTTTTATTATATTTTACGAAATTGTAATTTATTACTGTGATTGAACTAGATATTAGGTACACGGAATATGTTCGTGGAGTTTCCTATTAATGGAAAACAGTTTATGGTTTTCTGTTACTAATATTCAAATTAAATTTTTATTAACTCGTAATAAATAGTGTCGACGTCGATACACGGTTTATTCAGTATTCCTTTGTTTTGTTGTTCCATTGTACACGGTTAAATGTGGTTATCGAAGAAGTCTAGATTTCCACCTTCTTACCGTATAAATTAACTAGGTCGGAAGTTTCACGAAAACAAAACCTTCCGCCCGTGCAATTACCGTTCACCTTTATTTAGATTAAAACATTCAGCAAATGAACACATTCAAAATGTTGATAAAGTGCATATTTCAATTAACAAATTTTACAGTGTATACGCAAGATTTAATTGTCTATGCAACCAAACCTGAAAAACAAGTTCTACAAGATTAAATGGTGCTATGAGGTTGAATATCATTATAGTTTAAGAAAGTTACGACTGTTCTGAAGTTTATACTGCAAGGCCACACGAACTTTAACCAGTACGTCGTATTAATAACTTCTGGATTGTTAATCGTAGGACCAAGAAACCTATTAACACTTTCAGCACTTAACAGTCTCACGACATCACAGACTTCATACCGATACTTCGATGTTTCTTTGATTCGATGTCCAAAAAAAAATAATTTCTCGATCGCGAAATATCTTCCCAAGGATTATACCCTCTGAGTGTACACGCAACATTTTCGCTTGCAACGGTCCTCTGGAAACGCGTGCGGCCCCTTGAATCGACAACATTAGGGCGCACCGGGCAACGATCGTCGAGAGTCCAGTTCGCGATTGAAAGCGTCCGGCCGCACATTGACACGAAACTGGTAAATCTCTGGACATCCAATTTTTGTTCTAACCGATTAATCATATTTTTATCGAAAATTTAAAAAAATATATTTGTTTAAATAATATATTGACGTACCTATAATATATAATATATTAATATATTAATATATTAATATAATATAATAATATATTAAATTTGTTTCAATAATATATTGTTATAACGGACGCAGCTGGGGTATGTATGACCGCGGACGCCGCTTATATCGGGTGTTCCTTCGATCATGTACGAACGTCCCCACCCCCATAGAATAGAACCGGAAGGATCTCCACGATTATCAGCCCAATGCATGAAACGTCGACGTTCATACCCGCCTTTTGTTTTATTATTAATACGTGGTGGGTTCGTAAGGTTCTTTAACGAATCGACTGTGTGTAGACCCTTTCAGTCGTCATTAACGTTTTCTGTTACCTCTTTTCTTCCATACCTGAGGACCATATTTCCGGGTCGACTAATTCTTGGCTCATGGATTTTCAGATTGATTTTTTCGTGTAATCAAAATTTGGGGCTGTTTCACAGGGTGCATTTTCTACATACTAAACTGTGACAAAATTGCGTTCGAAGCTTAATTTCCTTTTTAAAAATATGGAAAAAATACGCGGGAAATACGTCAATGGGTGATGGGTTACATATATCAAAGGTGGTAAAACGCTTGAAAACACTTTCAATCGGTCAAATCCTACCTCCACAGTCTCCAGATCTCAATGTAATAGACCATCTAAACGAAATGTTAGATTCTAAACTAGAGAAATAAACACGAATGAATCCCATACGTTCAAAGTGTATAATCACTTTTGACTCTGACTGTATTACGCGTAATAATTAAAAATCTGTCAAAAATGGATCTGATGCCCTCTAAAATTCCAAGCTTCATTCGCCACATTCAGGTAAATCCCCCATACCACAGTTCACCCTCAAACTCGTTTCCACCCTTTTCCCTCGTCGTCCAAAGCCCTGGAAGAAGAAAATCAGCCGGTTGGGCAGCCCTAGGTCCGATAACACCACCGTTGGGGCCGTCCTTCGCGGCACGCTGCGAGTAAACGAACGATGCACCATGAATTATTCCAGGCGGCGCGTGAGCCGGCATGAATTATTCCGTCACTCGCGGCACGGCCTCTCGTTTTGGCAGGGCGGAATGCCCGCCCCGTTCGAAAACAGTCGAAAATTATGCGACTCGATAATCCATGAGCCGTCGGTTGTCGCGGCCATAAGCGTGTCCTCGAGAGTTCCCTCGTTAACCGTCGACCGAAGCGATTTATGATCTTTCCTCTCCGAGAGACGTGTGGTCTTCGGCGGATTTTTCCAATGATTTCACGAGGTGGATAAAAATTTTCAATTTCAATTCTGTCATCGCGAGTTCTACACAGGCGTAACACACACAGAGAGAGACGTGATTTTTCCGATGCGATGGGACGCGAATCATTTTTCCCGACGCGTTTGTTTCGTTCACCAGTTGATCGATAGCACTGTTCTTTGTTGAGAATTCTAAAATGATGGAGCGAAACTGGTTTTATTCGTCTGATTTTTTATCGCTGAATGCAGCTGTTGCCTCACTTTTGACCCTATATATGAGAATTTTTTTTTAGTTTAAATATTAATATGGAATTAGGAAACGTGTATTATAGGGGGTAATTTAAAAATTGTGGTACAGTCGGCTGGGTGGTGATTATATGTGCCAGAATAAGTCGAAAAGATTGAATAACATTTTTTTATTTAATACTTCGTTTTGGAGATAATCGAATTTGAAGGCCTGATGGATACGCGTGCGATTGAATCGGATTGGCGTGTCTGTTCAGTGCGTTCTATTTCTACTTATTACCATAACGAATAGGGTGGATGCACCGGTAAATGAACACGTACCAGTGAATGAACATTGTATATAAGCACGAGTAAATTGAGTTATTAAAATAAGCAAATGATTAAATATTGATTTTGTTTTAATTCCTTGTTTCATATTCAAACAATTTTCGTGTCATTGTTTCGAAATGTTCATTTACTTAATATTGTTCACTCACTGATGAAACCTGTATGTATTCTTTTTAATTTAGTTAGGTAATTACATTTTTCCAATTTCTCAAATGGAAATGTATAAAAAGGGTAGATATTGACCCTCGAATAGTAAGATGGGTTTTAAAAACGTACTTGGTAAATTGGGGTCGGAACCGACCCGAACACTTTCTTCCCATTTTCAGCCGAGTAAAAGAAAGTTATTATCTCGAACTTGTATTTTTGTATATTTATATAAAAGGAATAATAATTGAGTTATATAAGATATAACAACACAAGTATTATACGTTTGCTAAATAATATAAAATATTAAAAAATAAAGTGGGTACAGCACAAAAGGAACTATAACTTGGGTCGGATACCACCCTAACCTCAACCACCAGAAGGTTAAAAAATCGACTTTTCATGTGTCAAATATTTACTAATATTGTTATTTGACAAACTAAAAACTACAACATCCTGTTCAGCAACCCTTAATTCGCACAAAAAGCCAGGTGTAGTTCTATCATTTTCGGACGTGTTTTGAACAGTATAATTGACAGTGAAAACGTATCAATTCTGTTTATCCGTTCGATTCGCGCCTAGACCAATCGTCTTTCGTTTCTACGAAAACACACGCACACACTGAAATTGTTAAGCCTTGATGTTTATCTGTTGCCCGCATCCGTCAGGATTGGCCGAAATTCGCGCAGCAGCTCATGGAACTTGGTTGCACCTGGACCACGCAGATAGAGGTGAAATTAACGCCCTTTGGCGAAACTATATCAAACATAATATATTTTCAATCTCTTTCTCAACCTACCCCCCCACCACCCCTCGCTGTACGAGCTTCCCACCCCATTGTCTTTATTTCTCTTCTTCGACACGGTGTTATTCACGGCTTCGCGAGAAGATGCACTTTGTGTGCTCGATCGCTCGCGTCTCCGGGTATATAGATCAGAGAATATTTTTTTGAAAACGATTACGGTCAATTGACAGTGAATTTTGTTAATGATAGACGATAAGAACGAGTAATACGACTCTGTTACCTGCGATCGCGTGTGATTTCAGTTCCGTTTTATCATGACGAACCATGAAGGGGTAAACCGTCCGGTTCCCTATAACACGATTTCGCTGGTTATTGTTGATTACCGCTCGCGGAAACGGTTCCAGTGATCGATAAAGTATGTAACGTAGTTAACCCCCGGAGCAACTTAACACGTTGAGGACCGGTGTGTATTGCTCGTCACTTAACATTATTCCCAGTATCTTCTGCGATGTAGGTGGAACTTAAGGGTACAAGCCTATTTATAAAATGTAATTCGGTAATTTTTATTTATGTGATCTTGTTTTTTATGTAAAGGGATCTTGGAGGATTTGTATGCATACTTTGTTAAGTATCTAATGTGACTGTCAGAAATAATATGGCTTTTTTTAATTCTTCGCGGAACACAGTTTTCACTTCACCTGCCGAGGGCTATTTAAGTAGGTTTTTAATTCCTTAATAATGATAAATTTATCATTCCCAACGGCCAATTACCATGGTAGACCGATAAAACAAACCGAGGAACGGAATGTTACAATATGTCTTATAATTTCTTATTTAGAAGAAAATTTATATATTTGTTGTCACCAAGTTGAGTCGATTTACTCATAAAAAATTCTGCTCATAGAGGGTTGAATTCGATTTTACTACAAATTTAGCTGTCTTCGTCCTGTAAAATTAATTTTTTACAAGATAGAAACTCGTCTGTGGTTCCAACCATAGCCAGTTATGTTGAGAACGTATACGCAAAAGCGCCACTGGATCAACCCAGTAGTTACTGAGACAATTGCTCGACTTAAAAAACCTTATTTCCAAAAAAAACACGTTTACAATTTTTTACTTACCGCCGCCCGATACGGAAGGCGTTACCTTCGGATCTCTCTGTCTCCGCTAATAATTCGAATTTCAAAAAAATCGCATTCGATAACTCGACAAAAATTATTTCTTTTCCAACCCTCTACACTAGAGTACCTCCTTAAACTCTGCACAAAATAAAATCGGACACAAATTCCAAAATTTTAATCTTTGAACAGTCACGATCAATCGAAACATTTCAGAAGAAAATTAGACAAAAGATAACGGACGATTCGCTAGTATGCTGCGCACTGCATAAATTTCCTATCTCCGGTTCTCAAGGTGTTAAGAAACCAAGGGTGATAGAGCCGCTTAACGGCCGAGATTCGCTCCGTTTCAGACATTACGGGGCTCGTTCGAGTTCGAGCAGCCGATAAAGTCGTTTACGCGATGAAAACGGGGCCACGGAAGAGGGAAGCAGTAACATCCAATACCTGGATAGTGAAGGACCGTATCCTCTTGCGGCGAGCCGACGAATAAAAGTGCTTACGGTTCCGATCCACCTTTTGTTTCTCCGTATCCGTCAGTTTTCTTCCCTCTCGCGGCCACCCCACGCGTGGCCTGCGCACCCTTAGCCGGCGTGTTCCCTTCCGGCATACCGGAAGGGGGGCCATTCGACGCCCCCCCCCCCTGATCCCCAACGGAGGATACAGATGATATTTATTTTCTTGTCTTTTTTTTGCTTTCTCACTTCAGATGGACACACCTGTGCCGACCAACTCGATCGGATCGTATATCGGATCGCCGAACCACACCACGACCTACACGCAGGTGAGTAAATTTAATTTGGTGATATACTGGGTGTCGCAAAAATGTTAGAGGACCCGAGAATGGGAGACTCGTGAAGTGACTTGAAACAAGTTTTTCCTTAGCAAAAATGTTATCCGAGGATTTTTTAACGAGATATTAACGGAAAACCCTGACCAATCGGAGCACGAGTCTCCCATTTCCGGGTCCTTTAAGATTTTTTTACATTCTGTATAATTGGTGGATTGTCGGTTTATGTATGCGTATGTTTGTGGTTTGGTATCTAGAAATGAGAATGGAGAAACGTTAACGCCTTAATCCTACGTTGTAACAGTCGGTCAAATTGACCTAGAATATGACTTTGAAGTTAAATATCTTTGAGATATCATTGAAAATGGCACTACTAGCATATAATAGTAATTTTAGGTGCACTAAAACTTTTCAAAAATTTTTTTTTTTTACTTTTTTCAAACTTTCAGGGTTAATTTTTAAACGTGAAAATGTAATCTACAATTCTGAAACTTCATCTCGGAATTTCTTGCCATTTAATTTAATGAATAGTTTTTAAACAATACTTGTTTTAAATTATACTTTATAGTAATATAATTTTTCCCAACAAATTTTAAACGGTATTTAAATAATCCATCCCCTTTTCAATGTACATAACGTGGCAGTCAATGTGTTACACAAAAAAAGCCCATCACAAACTCTAAACCTAACCTGTTAACTTTTCACCGTGAAATTTCTCTGGTTCCGATACGTTGGTTATCAGTTTCAGCCTCGGCCCTGAGGCTTCGAGAGATCGATTACACGCGGAGTAATTGACTCTCCGCGCGAGATTCAATGTTTGTGCATCGGTTCCAAAGGGATCCTCCAACGTTTATATCTCCCGACTCCCTTTCCGTCAAAAACAGATCTTTGACTGGTCGAATATCCGGGAGTTCCCGAGCTTCCACGGTGATTTCATGATTGGATTCGCGTCGATTTCGATCTATTACGCGATGGAGGATGGATAATCGAATTATCTCGATACCAGGACCACGTTGGATACACTGGGCTTGATATCGTCCGATTGAACAGGGTCTTTGCGTAATAACTAGATTTCCTTTGTAGCGTACGAACGATCACAGGTGTCTCGAGTCGCACGAGAAATGAAAAGGAATTATTAACCCGTCACAGGGTGCCCGATCAATGACTTCTCGAATCCCTGGTCACTTTTTTACCTATAATAAAAATTCCGTTTTGTATATATGTACAGGGTGTCGCATTTAAATCGATTTACTCGAATGTTTTGGAAACTGTTGATGATGCTAAAAGTACTTCAGAATAAAATAGAGTGGGTAGAACACAAAAGGGACTATAACTTGGGTCGGATACGACCCGAACCTTACCACTAGAAGGTTGAAAAATCCTATTTTCATGTGCTATTTATTCGCACGAGAAATGGAAAGGAATTATTAACCCTTCGAAGTATCCGGTCAATGACTTCTCGAATCTCTTGAAAATTTTTTAATTATAGCAAAAACTACGAAATTTAGGAAACTACTACGAAACCTTACATTTTCGTTGTACAAATGCAAGGTGTTCCTTATACTTTATGAATTGTACTGTATTTCGTGCGTAAAATAAGTAGAGAAGCTAACTAAAGAAGGTACGTTGGCCTAACTAGATGGAAGGGGTGGTTAGATATAGTCATAATTAGATTCACTAAAGTATAGAATTCTTAGAATTGATACCACATAAGCTTGAATTACTATTACTGCTATTTTCAAAATAAGTATATTCTACATAATAATTACAAAGAGAATAAACAGTAAAAATTTATTTACTGATAATCCTAATAAAGTTAAATGTAGATTTCCTGCTAATACATTAGCTGTAAGTCGGATTGCTACGGTTCATGGTCGAATAATATTACAATATTCAGTTGCCACTGTATCCAACAGGTTCCCAGAATCAACATCAAAAAGCGGTTTAATCCAAGCTGAATATTCAATATTTTACAAACAACCACATGTTCGCCGATAAGCTCGTTTCACCGCGAAGAGTTGCGAATTTGTTTTTCGAAACTAATCCCATTAGCCCTATCCAAATACGATATTATCCACCTCCCACAAATCCAATATACCTTGATTCTGCCGTCGTGTTAATCCATATTGGATTAATGGTCCGTCGAACGGTCGCGATTTTTACCCGTTTGAATTTCCGTTGCAGAACGACGTGATAAATGTCGGAGGTGAATTGGGCAGCGGAGACCCCGGTTATTTCAGCACGAGCCCCCAAATGGCGTATCAGCCGACGACGACGAACTCCACCAACACCACCACCACGCAGCAGCTCACGCCGCAGACACCGAACACACCGACGATCATCCTCACCGGTGGGTTTTCCGCGAAAATTCACGGTCCCTTCCCTTCCCTCTCCAACAGGTGTTATTTCAACGCGTCGCCACAGTTGCGATATTTCAGCAATCAAGCGGGGACCAAAATTATCATACTAAAGAAATACTGGTTTCACGCTGGTTTCGATGGGTTTTTCTATTAATACAAAGAAACATAGTCGGGTATATGCATATTTTACATTTCGTTGATATTATTCGAACAGAAAACATAGAAATAAGTGAACGTTTAAAGTAGATATTTCCATTTCACGTGTACTATTTCACGTATGTTTTAATATACTTCGTCCTAATTTTTAAGATACTGTTACTAATTTTTGAAAGCAAAATGTGGTTATACAAGATTGATACAAAAATAAGTTTGAAAACTGTAATGAAATATTTAAACATACCAGCAATATCAGTTGCCACCGAATGATGCTTTTCAAATTCTGGGAGTATAGTTACCTGCAGAAGAAGTCGATTATTAACAGAAAATGTAAATTTTCTAATTTAAAATGTAATGTTTCTAGCGAAATGGACATATTATCGATTTATAATATTTTTAGAAATCTGGATTACCATCGAAATTGAATGTCGTCCCGCTAGATTGCTAAAAAATCACTGTGCGTTGATCGCGCCGCAGCAAAACATCTGGGAATAACGCAAAGCTCCACGGAGCCCACGCGACGACGAAACGTATTGTTCGGTTGCTTCCTCTGGAGATTAGGGGAGAAATTAAAATGTTGCTCGGTAACGGTGTGTCCTGTCCTCATGATGCATGGTTTCGAAGTTTCGTCTGAGACGTAATATAGCTCGTCGAGGCCCACCTACGCGTAGATAAGATATCCATATTCTACGAAAGGGCAGGGGTACTTGTACCTGGCAGCTGGAGCTGTGAAAGATTTTGTAGCCAGACCCCGTTCTATGCTTGAGAAGAGGTATCGATTAGATTGAGATTAAGATGCTGGTTCTCTGTACGAGGTTATCGAGCCGGAAGACCTCGGGTGAAGGAGGGCTTGAAAAGTAGTCTTTGGGGTGGGATTGAGAATTTCAAAGACAAGGATATTTTGAAAATCTTGCTCTGTTAAGGGGGCAGACCAGTGTAACGTTGAAAACTTTTTTTTCACATTTCTCAATTTCTTATGGTCTTAAAATAACAATATAAAAAAATGTAATAAAATAATGGTCTTAAATTAAATACGTGACTAAAATATTTTTTTTCTTTTAAGTTTCTAAAAATGATCGTGACACGCGACTCTGAAGGTAACAGACCACGGATTGTATTGAATATAATTACTTCTCTAACTCCGAACACGTTTTTCTCGAAACTGTGTTTTTCAAATTGAAATACTTTGAAACAAAGATAAAAAGATTACCGAGCTTTCGTCGTTTTCGAACTACAAGATAAAAAGATTACCCAGCTTTCGTTGTTTCCGAACGTGCTCGAATGATCGTTACTTTTCATCCGGTTCCAGACTTCTCCGTCGGCGACGACCTGACGAACCCCGAGTTCGTGAAAGACCTCGGCACGGCGATGATGAGCGACTTCGATCTCTATCCGTCGGATGACGCTCTCAGGCAGGGCCTGGATCCGATCGACGTGGATGGTCTACAAATGCTCACCGACCCGAACATGGTCATATCCGATCCCAGCGCCGAGGCCCATTTTAGGCTAGATCGACTTTAAGGCGAGACAGTTTACTCATTTGCGATTACGCGCTGACTATTATTACCGTAGGAATACAAATTCTTATCTGTCCTGGTGTCGCGATTTATTCTTGGGGCACTTTGACAAATGGGACGGACCGTGTCTCGACCGGTCGCTTCGACGTACACACTCCCCCCTCACTCCGAACGAGAACCACGTTTTCCGGGACGTCGAGATCAGTCGAGCGATTACTATCGACCGTGGTTCGATCGCTCGACCCCCCCCCCCCTCGATATATCGCCTACTCGTCGAGGGACGACGATCTGAACGTCTGTAAGACCGGAGGAAGCTGTTTCTCGTTCGGACCCGCACACGTCCGGCGACCAACGAAATCGGTCTCCCCGTTCGTGATAAACCGTTAATTGAGGATTAAGTAATACAAATCTTTATTAACCCATTTTTTTATTTTATACTACTTTGTACATTGTATCATGTATGATCTCTAAGAAGCACAAAACAAAATGTCTACTGATTTATACATGCTTTTGTCATATACGATCCTAGGAAGGTAAAATCTACTGTTTAGGTGAACGTTAACGTTAGCGAATATAAATGAAAAAAAAACACACACACACACACACACACAGCGTTAATATTGTGGATCGGGCGTGTTGTGCTCCGCGCCGAGCGAGTCGACGGGGTGTGGTATACTTAAAGGGGCGACAGAAAGAACGGAGCACGGGGGGGGGAAAACACGCGTAAAGACATTTTACTACACGAGAGAGGAGGGAGACACCTATGGACGATACCCTTGCCGAAACATTATCGAGCATTCGAAGCTGACCTCTCTTTGTCCTTTCCTTCGTCGCGCGTTCTCATTCGTACCTCGAACGTGTACCGCTGCGTTCTGGGATTCTGTTTAGTGGTTCCAAAGAGCAGAATCATGGAAATGTTCGTGTCAACGATTTTATTATCAATTGTGAAAAATGAACGGTGTTTTGATTTTAACTGCGCACAGTGTTCGTCAGTGATTCTTTTTGAAGAAACGAGTTAAATGTTCTCCATTAAGTATGTTCAGTGTATTCGTACAATTACTGACCAGCACTTTTCTTACAAATGGTCGGTGGAGTGAAATGGTAAAGTGGAAGGAGAAAACAGTGCACTGGATTTTATAATTTGATTGAAAATTTTCTTGCATGCGTGGTTTGCAAGAAGATGGTTGTCCTGATGGAGGTATAATAACTTTTTTCACGCGAGATCCTGGGTAAGAAATATAAATATCATGTTACTTACGACTTTTGACTTCTTTTTGCGTGTAATGTACACTTGTGGCATTTTTGTCTAGCAGTTTCGATTTATATATGGCTCTGTGTCGCGTGGAATGTACAAATTAGAAAATTAGTGCAATCTGTCCTGTTGCTTTTAGAACAATAACAGTGCAATGTTTTCCACCTCCATTTTTTTTTTTAACTTTATGTACGAGAAAAACACTCGTCAGTAATTCCGTAACGATTTGGATAAAATCAAATCCCATCTTTTTTCGTAGATCTTTTTCTGACCTCTAACGAAATGGAAAAAATATTATCTAACAGATCAGCGGTTCCCAACCTTGGATACGTACTTGGTGTTTTAAAGGGTGCGTGAAAAAAAATTGAAATAACAGCAATTATATAAATTACAACCATATTTCTAATATTAGGTGGTACAGTTTGGGAAAATTGACTGCCAAGTAGTACACCAGTCAGAAAATGTTGGAAACCTCTGTAGTAGATTAAGCTAACCTATACTGTATCTTCTGATTTGAGAAACATAAGTTGCCCCTTGAACAAGGATCTCTGACAGATATTGTACGTTAAAATACATCGTTACAGATCGATCTAGATTCCCTCGTTCGCAGCGTCGCTTCGCGGAAATCACGATCAAAGGCAGACGAAAGCGTCTAATAAACGCGAAGAATAGTGTAACCTCGCGCGTGCAAACCACGGCGGTCGTCAATTGTTTTTTGAAAGTAATACACTGTACTTTGTACATACGTTGACATAATTAATCCCGCGCGGCAAGTTAGAGTGACTCGATTAATGTATGTGTGAAGGAGAAACAAAATGGAGATGACGCTTAATAATCTGTACACAGTGTACGTACGTAGTGGTAATGGGCCTTTCTTCGAGCGCCGTACATTACTCGTTATTCATAAGCGTAGACGAGTGGTAAAGAAGAGAAAGGGCGACCTGAAGGTCTTAAAAAGATTCAAAGGCTACAGAGTACATTTGGTGGTGCTAACAAGCTATCCGATTTATTAGAATTTTTTATATCGAAATAGATTTATTTCGAACTATTTGTTACGTTTAAATGGAGAAATAACGAGATTTTAACTAGTAGTTGCTGTGATGTTTTAGAGCCGTTTACCGGGGTACGAAATAAAAACTGTACAAGGAGTTTCAGAACAATAGATGTATAGAGGTGGATCATCTGTGAAGTATGGTCTATGATCAGAAGATATGTAACCATAAATCTCTATCAATTAAATGGCACGAATGATTATTTAAATCTTAAATTTTAATACTACAGCAGTTCCACCAACTATACATCGTTCAGAATCGGTCCACTATTTCGTTTCTTCAGCCTGTCGTACCAGAGGAAACGCTAAACCGGGTCGAGCCAACGGCTATTAAAGTTTTTAATAGAGTTCCGACTAATTGAATTTTATAGAATTACCTTGACGGGATTGTTGTTGAGAGTTTCTCAAAGTTTACGCCTTGTTTTTACGGTCCGCGCTGTGTCCGTTGTTACCGGTTCTTAGAGCCTGTGGTACCAAGTGTACTGCCATCTGTACCTAAGCACAAGATCCAATCAGTATGTTTAGATCATTTAAACTCTACTATTTCGGTCCATTTCTAAAAACCAGTGGAACTTGAAGTCGTGATTCGATAGATCTTGAACTACAGTTGACAAAAGTCTCAGAGTTCTATCGTCTGTATGTTCTATCGTGACTCCAGTTTCGTCACGCTACTTCTCACGATTCAAGATTAATTTGTACTCTCCAGACACGCAGCGGCACCAAAACGATTCCGTTTTGATAGACACTTAGGGTTGCAGAGCATTATTTGATAATGTATCGTCCATATTTAGAATATTTATCTTATATAATAATGTCATTAAACTACAGTTATGGATATTAAAAAACATACACTTCCATTTCTGAAAAATGATAATGACCTTGCGATTTTTTGGCATTGTAATGTACAAAAAAGCCAATTAGGCAAAAAGGTTGACCCTCTAAGGCAGTTCGACTTTGTCTATTGACAATTTACGTTAGAATGTATTCGGTTGTCACGTTAAACGTGTCCCACCCTGTATATAAATCTACGCATATGAATTTGCGTACAACAATGCTGGTCTGAACGGAGTCGTTTTGGTACTTTTTTTTATGCTTGACCAGATAGTGCATCTCCTGCCTTTAACCCTCTCGATCCGCAGGTACACTACCGCTCATAAGTATTAGGATGATCGAATTGGTGTTTAGAAGAAGGGCGTATGTTACAAATTCTTCGAAAAGGGTTTTCCCTGGATCAAAGACCAGATGTAGAAATCGCCTTTGGCAAAATTTTTGATACTCGACAGTGGCACTAGAAGTGCAGCACAGAAAAATGTTAATTATTATTGTTCTTTAATTTCTACAGTAAGCAATAAATTGTTTTTATGTTTTCCTCTAAATTTTATGAAATGTAACACAAACCCTTCTAGACGCCCATTCAACTAATCTGTATGAAGAAAATGTAATGCTTTGTAAGAATTTTTTAAACTACTTTTATTACAATATTTCTTTCAGACTTCTACGAATTTCGTAATGCCTTGTAACAATTTACCTGATATTCGATAAATGTCCTAATACTTGTAAGCGGTAGTGTAGGTCGTACCCGACATTTAAAAAAGTATCCCAATCGATAAGACATTACGGTTCTCTAAAGCCGTTTATGTTGCTCCCATGCGTAAAATCGGAATCGCATCGTCGACAGGAATTCGATGATCGGTACGATCGCAAAGGGTGACTCGACGATATAACAGAGGAATCTGTCCGTTAAAAAGTGTACAAACAAAGTCTAACTACTGTTACGAATCCATGACGAAGACGTTCCGTCTAGATTTTCGTCGATTTTTATGAAATCCGCAAAATCTGATCGTCTTATATATTCGCATCTAGACGAACAATCGACAACTGAAGAGAGAAACAGGAGAACTGTCGAACGGTTCGTCGCGTGTCGGTTCGGCCCCTTCGATTCGTTCGTCACGTGTCGGTTCGAACACTGATTCGTTCGCCACGTGTTGGTTCGGACACCGACTCGTTCGCCATCTGTCGGTTCGGACACCGATTCGTTCGTCACGTGTTGGTTCGGACACCGACTCGTTCGCCATCTGTCGGTTCGGACACCGATTCGTTCGTCACGTGTCGGTTCGGACACTGATTCGTCCCAGATAGCACATGACGTCTTGTAGACGTCCATTTTACGGCTATTTTAGGTCTAAGGCGTCTTTAAGCCGTCTTCAAGGCGTTATTGGGCATCTTGTGCTATCTGGGGTTCGTTACGTGTCGATTTCCCCCCACCCCCCGCGGAAGTCTCGTCGCGAGACGGTGCCAAAGCGCATTAGAGATATGTTTGTCGCTCTAGATTTCTAAGATCGTTCTTGTCGGCTCGCGTGAACGTGCAATATTAAGGCGATACGATGTAACCAGGATCCGCCGGTGTATGATCGTCTGGACCAGGGGTTCTCAAACTTTACTTTTCGCGTATCACTCAAATAATGTACAGTCCAGAGATGAGTTGTTGGCTAGGCACCTAGAACGAGTGATAACAAAGTACAGATTCCTCTCGATTATTGTCCCAATAATCATATTGAGAGAAATGCTTCAAACCCTCGGAAATTCGTTTTTTGCCCGAAACCCCAGCCTTGGCCATAAAAGCGGAGGGGCAACAAAGTATGTGCTTGACAGAGTCCACGCCCACCTCCCAGTGGTGGGAATGACGCCTGGACAATAATCGTGTAGAACGAGCCAGACGATAATCGAGAGGAGTCTGTAATGACTAGACTGCTCATTTATAATATTCCCAGTTGTCTGAAATTCAGTACACTAACAGGTCTAATCTGTTTTTGTGGGGTTCTCATTTTATCTGGGAGTCAATAGAATCTTTGATGCAATAAAGGAATTTCTGTTTCTTTCTAGTTTCCGTAAATAAATAATTAAAAGTTGATATTTCGATAAAGATAATGGTCTAGTAATAACGC